GGACAGAACCATGATTTTACATATTCCCGTCAACACCTTACTTTTGAGAAAATTAGGACAATTTTTAAATCCTAGAATTATGACTCTTTAAGGAGTTTTACCATGGGACTTTTTTTGTCTGGGTTTTTGTTTTTGTCATTGTCTAAATAGATAGGTTGAGATTTTTAGTTCAGGCTCTCAGAGAGAATGACAGCTGATCCTTTGCTTTTACATCTTCCTCCTTCCCTGGCTGCTTCTTAGGTGTCCTCCCGTGACCTCTCTTTCTTTCCCTAGACTTGAGTCCCCTAGTTCCCAGTTCACTCCGTGAGTGCCCTAGCTCCCAGTTCACTTCTCCATCTACATTCACTGCCCTGGCAGTCCAACTCAGGCCCAAAATGGAAGTACTATCCATTTGCCAAAATGTTTATTTCCTCCCGCTTTATTCTTGCAGAATCCAAACTTGAACATTGGACACTCATTCACACATATATAAGAGATATCAAACTTTACCATTCTAAAATTGAGCACAGGCTATTCCTTCCCTGTAAGACCTGTTACCCTCAAAAGTTTTGTTTGTCTAAGTTGGTGGCAGCTCTGTTTCTCTGGCCAAAGCTTTGTAGAAATCATTAATTACCGGGATGCCTGGGTGGCTCAGTGGTTGAGCGTCTGCCTTTGGTTCAGGGCATGATCCCGGTCCCGGGATCCAGTCCCACATCGGGCTCCCTCATCATGGAGCCTGCTTCTGCCTCTGCCTGTGTCTCTGCCTCTCTCTCTCTGTCTCTTCTGAATAAATAAATTGAAAGAAATCTTTAAAGACATCATTAACTACCTTTCTCTCTCTTATCTTACATCCAATCCATTAGAAAATCCTATTGATTTTATCTTCAAGATAGATCTCTTCCTGCAACCTCCACTGTCACCACTGCAGTGGAAGCCACCATCATTTCTTGCTTGGATTATACAATAGCCTCTTGCCAGTGTAACCTCTTTGCCCCTATAGTCTCAGTTTAGCATCCAATCTGATCCAAATATTTAGAACGAAATTTAGATTATGCCACCTTTCCAGTGGAAGTGGAAAACCTTGCCGTGGCTACCCATGTTTCTCAGATTCCTTGGACATGTCAGTGTGCTCCTGCCTTAGGGCCTTTGCTCTGCCATCTGCTGCCTAGATTCTTTGGGTCACCACCCGCATCTTCTTCAAGTCAGATCACAGCTTTGTAGCGAGCTTCTCTTGACTGCCCTTTTTTCCAGGCAGCCTGCCTCCTCCTCTTCTTTGGATCCCTAATCTGTACCCTACTCTACATTTTCTGTTCCATATGCTTATCACCTTCTAAGATACTAAAGATATGCATATCCTGTGTGGTAGCCAGTAGCCTCGTGTGGGCCTTTATATTTTGAATAATGAAAATTTAAAAAAAAAATTTGGTTTGTCATCAAAGTAACCACACTTTTAAGTGTTCAAGAGTCACACGTGGCTGGTGGCTACTGTATTAGATTGCACAGAGAACGTTTGCATCATCTCAGAACATTTTACTGGACTACACTGGTATAGAATTTACAGATTTATTATGTTTGATGTTCTCTGTTTCATAAGAATATAAACTTCACAAAGGCAGAGGTTTTTCTCTAAATAGATAAATTATTTGTAAAGTTATTCACTGTAGAAAAGTTGTCTAGAGGATGCCTGAGTGGCTTAGTTGGCTAAGCATCTGCCTTTGGCTCAGGTCATGATCCCAGGGTCCTGGGATCGAGTTCCCCGTTGGGTTCCCTGCTCAGTGGGGAGCCTGCTTCTTCCTTTCCCTCTGCCATTCCCCCCACTTCTGCTCTCTGGCTCTCTCTCTCTGTCAAATAAATAAAATCTTTAAAAAAAGCTGCCTAGAGCACTATTTGGCACATAGAAAGTGATCTATAAATATATGCTGAATTGAGTGGAATTATTTCATTTTTGAAATAATTAAAAGATTGAATTTTTGTTTCAATTCACAAAATAAATATTATTCAAATAAAAATATTTGCAGCTAACATTTTTGGAATGCTTTTGTGCTAGGCCTGGCACTGCCCTAGGTATTTATTTAATTGAATTTTTATAAAAGCTGTGTATGGGGGCACCTGCGTGGCTCAGTCAGTTGAGCATGTTCTTGATTTCAGCTCAGGTCATGATCTCAGCCTCATGAGACTGAGCCCCGTGTTGGGCTCTCTGCTCAGCATGGAATCTGCTTAAGATTTTCTCTCTCCCCTCCCCTTTCCCTTCCCCTGCTTGCACTCTCTTCCCTCAATAAATACATTCTTTAAAAAAAAAAAAAAAGCTGTGTGTGTGTGTGTGTGTGTGTGTGTGTGTGTGTAAAATCCCCATCTGTAGATTAGAGAATATGGGCATAGAGAGGTTGAGTGGCTTGACCAAGAAACACAAACCAACTTAGTGGTATAGCCAGAATTTAGACCTGCTACACATGACTTCCAGTGCTTAGGGCCTAGCCAATGCTCAATTATTCTACTTTCTGAGTTTCAGGTTAATTTTGCAGTTCAGGTTAAATCTGCCCTTCTCATATGCTCATTGCGAGGGGGGGCAGTGCGGTTAAATTTAATGACATTTTTTATAAAAAGGAAATGAACATGGAAGACTCCATGGGAAACGAACTAGGGGTGGTAGAAGGGGAGGAGGGCGGGGGGTGGGGGTGCCTGGGTGGCAGGCACTGAGGGGGGCACTTGACGGGATGAGCACTTGGGTGTTATTCTGTATGTTGGCAAATTGAACACCAATAAAAAATAAATTTATTATTAAAAATAAAAAGGAAATGCTTTCTGCTGAATTGTTTTGGCAATGTACAGTGAGTTAGGGATCAAGTTTTTTAAAAAAACTTGATTCACTTAAGATCGTAGGTTTCAGTCACCTAAAAAAATCACTCATTTAAAAATACTAATGTGAAATACATTCTCAGAACTGCAGTTAGATAGCAATCATAGGAGGTATCATCTGTCACATTTAGATTGTTCTGGTTTTAGTCTGTATTGTGTTGGTTTGATCTTTTGGATATTTAGTTGCAGCTGCTTGTTTCCACATAAAGTGTGTGTGCATGCTCAGCTGCATATGTATAAAATAAAATCACTTTCTGGTAAATAAGGTACAAATGAGCAGTGAAACTTGACTTTATTTTCTCTGGGTTTGTTATATAGTTAAGGTGATACCGACTGGGATTTAATCATTTTAAGAAACCAGGATAATAGCAGTGATAAATTTTAAACAAATGTTTTTTGTGCGCTAGGCATTCTGCTAAAGCCTTTTACATGCATTATCTTATTTAATGCCAACAAAAATTCTTTGAGGTAGGGACTTTTCATGGTTCAGGAAATTATGTTTCCAGGGTGGCTAAGTGAGAGGGAATATTAACATCCTTCCTCCCACCTCCAGTCTTCACAAGGAATCTGTGAAGAGACTATATGCTTTGAAAAGAACTTAGAGTTAGTTGATAGAAATATCAGAAATAAAGAAGATATGTTTTTATTTCCCTTTTTATACTCTTTCCAAGTCTTCCAAATTCTGTCTTAGATTGAGGGACTGTCATGAGTGCCTTGTACATTTGAATTGAGAGCAGTTCTCAACCCACTCTGCACACTGAAAACGAATGGGAAGTGTTTTAAAAAAATGCCTGTGTCCCGTCCTCAGAGGTTTTTGACTTAATTGGTTTGGGATACCACTTGGACATTGGGATTTTTAAAAGTGCTTTGGGTAGTTCCAAGGTCTGGTGAGGGTCAAGAACCTGTGGTGTGTGCCGGTGGTCCCCAAACTTGTTGGCACATTGGAACCACCTGGGGAGCTTCTGAAACTACTGATTCCTGTGCTTCTCCCCCAGGATTGTGGTTTAATTGGTCTGTGCTGGGGCCTGGAATTTGGAAGAGTTAAGATTTCCCAGGTGATTCCAATGTGCAAACAGATTTGGGGACTTGTGATTTATGCAGTGATGTTCCACCTCGGCTGCACGTTAGTGTCACTTGAGTTTTAGAAGGTCCCATCATCCTGGTTTGCACTCACTTAAGTAGAATCTTTGGCATTGGACCTAGTTTTCGACACTCAGATGATTCCAACGTGCAGCCAATGGTGATAAATTCAGGTTTCTTTTTGTTTCTTATATGGTTTTGAACCAACTCCATTTAGTTTCACAATTCAGAATTTTTGTGGAATGAAGGAGATAAGAAGAGGCTTTTCCTTATACCGAGTTCAGCTTCTTCCCCTCATATTTTTATTGTGGTAAAATATATATAACACAATATTTACCAGTGCAGCCATTTTTAAGGTGTATGATCAGTGTCACTGATCAGTGTCATTACTGAATGTACTAAGGTACATTCCTAATATTGTGCAACTGTCACCACTATCCATTTTCAGAACTTTGTCATCATCCCTACATCATCTTGTACCCAAGAAAAAACAAGTCTTGTATCTCCCTCTTCCCAGCCTCTGGTAACTTTCTATTTTCTTTCTGTTTGAATTAGCCAATTCTAGGTACCTCAAATAAGGGAATTCATACATTTGTCCCTATGTGTTGGGCTCTTTTCACTTAGCATAGATTCATCCATTTGTCACCTGATAGCATCACATTCCTTTTGCAAAGCTAAATAATATTCCTTTGCCCATTTATACTAAATTTTGTTTATCCACTTATCTGTAGTAAACATTTGAGTTCGTTTTCTTAAACCAACATGAAAGAATACAGAACTAAGCAAATTATGGAAAGTAATATATTCTGCATTCCAGATAATTAGCTAACAAAATTTGGTTTGCCTGCTTGTATTCATGTAATTTAATTAGTATTAAAACCAAGGATGAGATTGCTGATTTTTCTGATTTACTAATTCTAGCTTTTTCCTCTTCCTGGCCGTGGTTTTGTATTATTTGAATGGTATAAAAAATGAATTTGCCATCTATGACTAAAGAACCATTAAGAAAAATTAAAAACTTTTAAGAAAAATAAAAGTTTTTCCCATGACTTACTGAGCTTGTTCCTTTTCACTGTGTTCTCCAGGAGTACCAGGTGTCAAAGAAGAACGTTTTGAAGAAGCAATGATGGTAAAGCACTGTGCGTTGTCCCTTGTGGGAGAACCCATCATGTACCCAGAAATCAATAGGTTTTTGAAACTACTCCATGAGTGTAAAATCTCTAGTTTCCTGGTCACAAATGCACAATTCCCTGTGGAAATCAGGTGAGCCATCCAGCTTATTAAGATACTCTACTTGAATCTGTTTGACCGAAAAGTAAAACAGGCATTAATGTATTCAAAAAGGGCTTATCAGTTACTCACTACATACACATGTTGGCTTTTTGGGGCAAGAGATGGGCCTATTCTTTTTTTTCTTTTTTTAAATGATTTTATTTATTCATGCATGAGAGACACAGACAAAGGGAGAAGCAGGCTCCCTGTAGGACTTAATACAGGACTCCATCCTGGAACCTGGGATCACCCCCCAAGCCAAAGCAGATGCTCAACCACTGAGCCACCCAGGTGTCCTGAGATGGCCTACTTTTAAAAATGCATTCTATTAGGAAGATAACATTAGTAAAAAGAATAGAGGCACAAATTAATTGCTGGGAGAATTCAAAAGAGAATGCAGTTTTTTTCCAGAAGGGGAGAAACAGGGTAAAACTTCTCAGCAAAGTCACCATTTAATTGGAATCTTAAAGGTTGGAAGCTATAGTTTTTAATAAGAACCTCCTGAGAAAGGTTGGAAGTTAGGGTATTTGTGATACTGTTATGTAAATATAGTTCATCTGGACCACAGAGTGTATGAAAGAGACTGGCAGCTGGAAACCTAAGTTGAAAAGGTAGGGGGTAGATTGTAGAGAATTTCAAGTGCTGTTCTTTGGAAAGATCTTGCTTCCTGCAGAGAATTCTGCTAGCATGGTGTAAAACGGGAGAACCAAAAGCAGGCAACTCGCTAGGAGAGGGTTCATTTAGGTAAGAGTATAATAAAGATGAAAGTAAGACAGAGAGAGTGAAGAGTCCTAAAAAAAGACATTATTGAGACATAATAGATCAGCTTGGCAAATTGCATGGCTCTTGAGAGTCCAGCATAGAAGAGGACCAGTTAATGACTAGAAGGTTTCCAGCCTGTTGATTGCTAGGATTATGGGGCTCTGGAGCTGTAGAGGATCACATAAGGAAGGAACAGGTTTAACAGGTATGATGAGTTGGTTTGGGTGACTTAGACGGGGAGCTTTCCAGATGGAGATGACCATCTTCTGGGGCCCGGAAATGATATGTTTTTGTATTATACTTGAACTATGCACATATTATAACACCAAACATTAAATTTTACTTATTTATCTGTGCTTTCCCCATTAGACAGAGTTGCTTGAGACTGGTGACCCATGTTTGTTTATCTTCATGTCACTAGTGTAGTACCTGTAAGTTCTCAGGAAATGGCTAGTGAAATACTGGGGAAATTTGCACATAGGAATAAAAGACAATGATCTTTTAAAATTCAAAGTTGTTTTGTAAATACCAACCAATAAAATATAACATGAAAAAAAGAGAAATTCTTAAATATAAAAAGACACCAATAGAGTCATGTCAGAATCACAGTGGCCTGCCTCATTCCATTTTTTCTCTTGCCTTCCGTTTACAACTAATCAGACATCCATAACAAAACAAAGCAAAAAAAGCACCTTTGTACAGCACATCAGGACATCCAAGAGATTCATTTGTGTGTGTACCCAAAAGAGAGTGGATTGTATGTTGGAGGAGGCCAGGGGAGTACTACTCCCCAGGAGTAAGGGGAATGGCAGCAGAGGCTGCTGGGACAGGTCTGATAGGGAGCCAGCACCACCCTTCTGGCAGAGGAGGTGGAGGGTGAAGGCGCCTGCTACAGAGCCAGAGGAGAACCTGTTGCTTTCTCTCAGAAACCACAGTGACTGGGGAAGGAAAGGGAAAGGAAGAAGGCAGGCATGGAACTGAAGGAAAGTATTTCCTGCTATCTGCCCCAGGGGATATTTGTAAAAGGATTGCCCACAGAGCTCTGGGAACCCCCCACTTGAGGATCCTACCACCTGGTCATGGGCCATACCCAAAGTCCCAGGTGCTAAGCACATACCACCTTCCACTGTGGTGCCACCCCTTCTCTCCCCTTTTAAATGCATAGCTTTCAGCAGTGGGGAGTCCGCTCTGGTAAGAAAAACCAAAAACTTGTGCTGCAGCACCACCTTCTGGAAGAGAAAAGGAAGGCTTCCAATTACCAACCTGTTAAAACTATTGGAATCAAAGTAAACAAGACTTTTACATAACAAAGAAAGGTATTTGCTGCTCCAGATACTGTGGCAGAGGCACTTTTTATGAAACCAACCATGAAAAATCATGGTAATATAGTATCACAAAAGGAAAATGCAGCTCGTTTTGAGCTGTACCCCCAAACACAAAATATTGCAATCTGATACATAATTCAAACTAGCTATTATGATGAAATTCAACAAGCTACAAGAAAACTTACAAAGGCAATATAATGATCTCGGGAATAAAATTAATGAATAGAAGGAGTACTTTACCAAAGAGATTGAAATTCTAAAGAATTCTAAAGAAGAACCAAACTCTGGAGCTGAAGAACTCAATACGTGAAATGAAGAATGCATTTACAAAGCATTGAAAATAGAGCAGATCAGATGAAAGAGAGAATTAACAAGCCGGAAGATAGGAATCTAGAAATGGTTAGGTGGAAGAGGAGAGAGAACTAAGATTTTAAGAAAGTAGAGAAACCCTATGAGAACCATCAGATTCCATTAGGAGAGTCAACGTTAGATGATTGGGTTTACCAGAGGGACAAGAGAGAGAAGGAAGTCGATCATATTAAAGAAATGATAACTGAGAACTTCCCAAACTTGGGGAAGGAACTGGACAGACAAGTCCACAAAGGTAATAAAACACTTAACCTCATTGTAAAAAGACTTTGTTTAAGACACACTATATCTAAACTGTCGAAAGTAAATGGTAAAGAATTTTAAAAGCAGCTGGGGGTGGGGGGAGATAATAACCTACAAAGGAACCTGCATTAGGCTATCAGCAGATTTCTCAGCAGAAACTTTACAACTTGGGAAAAGTAGAATGACTTTTTCAAAATATTAAAAGATGAAAACTGCCTCTCAATATCTGGCAAAGTTATCCTTCCGATATGACGGAAGGATAAAGGCTTTCCCAGGCAAACCAAAACAGAGAGTACTTTACCACCACAAGATCTGCCTTACAAGATATGTTGCAAGGAGCTCTTCAAGCTGAAATGGGAAGATGAAAGTACACAAAACTCTAATTAAGGTGGTAAATGGACAATCAGAATTAGAACACTGTAACTCTCTTTTAGAATAGTATATTAAACTCTTAATTATAGTATAAAGGTTAAAGGAAAAGCTTTAAAAATAATTATAGCTACTACAACTTGGTAGCAGAATCACAGCATGAAAAGATAATTGTGACATCAAAAATACTGAAGAATAAAAAGGGTGGAATCTTTATGGGAAGATCACAATAAATTGCTTTCAGCAGAAAAAAATGACTACTTTATAAGATGTTTTTTGTAATCCTCCTGGTAACCACTAAGCAAATATGTAGAGCATAGACATGAAACATAAAGAAGAGGGGAAACTGAGCAAATCACTATGGAAAACCACCAACTTACAAAGGTAGAAACAGAAGGAAAAATAAACAGTGGGAAGGCAAAAGATAAAATGACAGTAGGAAATCCTACATGTCAAGAATCACCTGAAATTTAAATGGATTGAACCCACCAATCACAGGGCACAGAGTGGCTGAATGGATAAAAAACAAAGCATAAAACTCAACCAAATGCTGCATACAGGAGACTTATTTCAGCTCTAAGGACACCTACAGACTCAAAGTAAAAGGATGGAAGATGTACTCCAAGCAGGTGGGAGTCAAAGGTGAGCAATACCTATATCAGACAAAATAGACTCCAAGTCAAAAAGGATAACAAGAGACAAGGAGGTCATTATGAAATGATAAATGAATCCATACATCAAGAAGATAGAACATTTGTGAATATATACAGTTCCAATACCCAAGCACTGAAATCTATTAAGCAAATACTAAGAGCTCATGAGGTGTAAGTCGATAGATAATAGAATAGTAGTAAAAGACCTAAATATCCCACTGGCAGCAATAGATAGATAGGAAATCAATAGGGAAACTTTAGAATTGAACCACATTTTAGAACAAATGGACTTAACAGACATACAGAACATTCCAAAATAAATAAGGAACTCAGTCAATTTAGCAACAACAAAAAAAATCTGATTAGAATATGGGCAGATTAACTAAATAGGCATTTTTGCAAAGAGGACATCAAAATGGCCAACAGGTAGGTACACGAAAAGATGCTCACATCACTCATCATCAGGGCGATGCAAATCAAAACCACAATGAGATACCACCTCACACCTGTTAAAATGCTGTCATTGAGAAGACAAGAGACAAAAGATGTGGTGAGGATGTAGTAAAAAGGGAACCTTTATACGTTGTTGGTAGAAATTTAAATCAGTTCAGCCACCATGGAAAATAATATGGAAGTTTCTAAAATAATTAAAAATAGATCTACCATATGATCCAGCAACTCCACCTCTGAATATATACCCAGAGGAAATGACAATAGGATTTTGAGGAGATGTATGTACTTCTATGTTTATTACAGCATTATTCACAATGGCCAAGATATAGGATCAACCCAGATGCCTATCAACAGATGAATGGGAAAAAAAATGTGGTGCATATACATAATGAAATACTATTCATCCATGAGAAAGCAGGATAGCCTGCCATTTGCAACAGCTTGGATGGACCTTGAGCAAGTATGGTATGCAAGTCAGAGAAAGTCAAGTACTATATGATTTAACTTATATGTAGAATCTAAAAAAGTTAAATCTGTTTTTTTTGTTTTGTTTTGTTTTGTTTTGAAGTAAAACAGTGGTTACCAGGGAATGCTGTAGGGTGTAAGATTGGTGGTGGTGTTTAAGGGTACAAATTTGTAACGAGTAGTAAATATGCTGTAGAGACCTAAAAAGTATAATGAATATAGATAATAATATTGTACTATAATTATGTAATGTGATGTTACATTGGCAGTCACATTACACTGTATAAATGTAACTGTACACTTTATTTTTTTTTAAGATTTTATTTATTTATTCATGAGAGACAGAGAGAGG